TATATATATATATATTTTGATGTTGACTTCCAAAACAATGAAAATCATTTTTTGAAAGTGCGCACATACACACACAAACACACACACAACATGCTTTCGCACAAAGCAGTGTTGTGTGTCGGCCTCTTTTGGATCTGCTGTTACAATTTTGGACAAGCGAGTGGTATCATGAAGCCAGATCAAGTTGGTTCTTCTTCTCCTGCCAGGGTCCATTAACATGCTTTAATGCTGAGTCGGCGCACTTGGCAGGCTGCTCATGGAAAAGTGAGGGTTTTGGAGTGCGTAACGTTCGTTAGCAGAAACAAGAAGGGTGAGGTCAACATCACAACGTCTGATGCCATGCCACGTGAAACCATACAACACCTCAATCTGAGAGCCTTTGTTTCTTCCCTATGGAGTCTAACTAGCTACCTAACTCTAGAGGGACCTGAGAAGTAAGCAAACAGCTTTGCACCTCTTGTAAACTTCTCACTACACCATGTGAAACTGTGGGACGTACCATGCCAAAGGCTTTTAAAAAAGGGGCTAGCCAGCTAGTAAGATCCAAAAACCGATGGGGTCTAAACAAGCCAACAACCGTGAGGTTCTGATTCAAACTACAAGGATCTTTTCCTGTTTTCCTTAGGTACTATAAAAATCTGAGCCTTTCCAATTCCAAACATAACACTGATGTCTCTGCACCAAGCCCATAGCCTTTTGACCTCTTCATGACTGTGACCCAGTCTCAAAATCACCGCTCCCTGTGTGTATGCTAGCTCGGGAGACGGCAAGATTTGATTTTAAGGCGCAGTGTGGCTGATCTTGTCTACGACAGAGGGTAAAGGAGGGTGGTGGTGGGCGAATGAAAGCTGCTGTGACGAATGTGACGGGTACAGAAGGCACTGTGGCTCTGTAGGGGGCTTGAGAGAAGACTCCTCACCTGCTGCAACCTCTCGTTGTGAAAGGTGAGGACAGAGGGTTTTCTTGTAAGCGCCCCTTCACTTCCACCAGAATAATAAACAATAACACTTGATTCTCATCTTCTCTGTTCTGAACATGATGGTTTAGAGGCAACACAATGTCAGGAAAGCAGAGAAATCTGAACAGAAAAACAGGAGGAGCTGCAGAAAGTGGGATGTAAAAAGACGCACATGAGGGGTGTGATGTTGAGTGAAATGTACAAATGTGGTGCTAATCAATACTGACTAATACCTTTGTTTTTTTTCTCTTATAAATTTCCTTTACAGTACAACAGCACTGCAGTTCCTCCTCAGAATAACAGTAGAAAGATGCTAATGAGGTCTGCATAGAGTCCCAATGTGTACTGGGCTTCGTTTCTGTTGTCCGCAAAAGCAGAGAAAAACGGTGCAAGTTTTAAAAAGTAGCTCAACTCTTAACTTTTTATAAGTGTGATCAGTATGCAAAATAAATAATTATCCAAAACTCTAATGATATTTATTTCTTCCACAACTACATCTGTTATAATATCTAGATTTACCTGTAGGCAATTCATTATCTTTGTCTATACGTTATTTGCCCTAAAGTTACTGATAACCCAATAATTGTTATCTTCCATAAAAATAATGCCATAAATATTATTCCTAAATGTTTTTGCTTTGTAAAATACTTTCTGTCTTTCAAGTTTCAGAGTCTAGTAAGTCAGATAAGAAAGCAAATGAGCAGAAGTGACGATATGATGAGGAATACTGATGTTGCGTTTGGGTGGAGAGAGGCTCAGCTTTGCTACAACCTTACTTGACTGGGTAAGGGGGCATCAGCATTGGCACAAACAGGCAGATGTCAGACTGACAAATGGACAATGAGGCATTAGGATCCGACTGTTGGGTCAAAGGGGAAGGCAGCGGGTCAGTGTGTGCTGGTTAGTGTTTGGACTGATGACCCAACCCGGGTGTACCTCACCCAATGATTACTAGAGATAGGCACCAGCTCCTTGCCGCCCTGCATGGAAAAAGTGGGTGTAGACAATAGATGGATAAATGATTACCGCCCTCTGGTGGCAAAACCCCAACATCCCTCATCACTGATTGACACCAACCCTGTACCACCAAGGCTGTGCTTTCATTGTTGGCAAATAATCTCACAGCTAAAGTACAGAGCCTAACAGAAACATGAAATCATGAACAATCTATCATGTCTGGAAATAGAAGAGCATCAACTTCAGTAAAAATCAAACCTTTTGTAAAAGCTAGTGTTTTCTACTCTTCACTCCGATGATGAGTTGCTGATCTTTGGGTTAGCTTGACAAGAGTACTGACCCTGTGGGTTTGTGAAAGTCAGGTACTGAGACTCCCCTGATGTCCACCTTTATCATTCCGGGGAGAGAGCGAGTTGCGTTACAACACGCAACACTGCTGAGTGAACATTCCAAAACTTTCATTGCCAAAGAAAAGTTGCACAAAGGCAACAGGAACCCAGTAAACATCACAGAACGGGGGGACACAAACTGAAGAGATGCAAACAGGATGAACATAGCATATTTGAACTCCAATTAACATGACAGCAAGTCTACAGCAACAGTTCTATCATTCAATCATCACCAGCATCATCATGGTCACTATCATTGGCATTGACATTAAAATCAGTATTCATATCTGTCATCATTAACAATAGTAAATAAAGTGTGGTAGAAGTTTCCTTCTGACCACTCTCGCTCCCTCTTGTTTCTCGAGCCCTGCTGGGGTTCTTATCTCCTGACAAGTTGTAGAAACAGATTTATTTTCTCAGAATACCCAGATAAACAAAACAGCTGAATGTCAGCGTCTCGTTTCAGGTTTAAAAATAAATCCAATTAGAATACTTTTGACAAGTAAAAGAGTGACAAAAGCCAAACAGGGAGAGAAAGAGAGAGTCGGAAAGAAGACAACTTCATTAATAAACCTAAAGCCCCCAAAGACCCACCCCACACAACTTAAATTTCCTCTCTAGTATGTATGATATCAGTCATGCAGATTTCCAGCAAGTTTTGGACTCTGAAATATATCAAAGGAGGCTGAGCGAATGCAACAGAAGAACCAAACTTCAATGTCCATAGAAGAACAAGAAGGAGAAGTAATCGATAGAAGAAATACTGAAGAAATTAGTCTTTTTTTCCCCATCCCTCCTTTACTCTCCTCCGCCCCATTCAACTGCGTGATGTCATTTCCTGTCAGGTCATCATCCCTCACACACTGGGGCTAGTAACAGAGGATGAAAAGGATTGACAAAGTGTTCAACCCCCTTCTCTTGTTACCTGAGCCCATCCCTTTGGTGTACTTGAACAGGAAGTGAGCCCACTTTGTGCCTTACCCCGTCACCCTTTGCTAACATTATTGGGACAGGAAGTGATGTCACAGCAGTTCCATCAGCATTAAGTGAGTCCATAACAGTAAACAGAGATGATAAAACTCATCAAATATCAGCCAGCACTGTGATTGGCTGGTTTTTGCAGTATAGGCGGAGCTTCCTGGTTCTGTCCATTGGAAACAGAAGAGATTAAAGATAAAGTCGATGTTCTCCCTTTTTTTTCATTGTTTGTCGTGTAAAGTTTCACCATGTTCTTCATTGTTTCAAGTTTGATTTTCTGGAGGCATAGCTTGGCATGAAAGGGTTAGGGGGTCCTGGCTTTTTAATACTAAATTTTGCTTCACCTTTTCTGTTTTAGAACAGAGTCAAAACGATGGACTCCTTGTTCCAGCTTTTCAGTTTACAGTAGTAGTCAGGCCAGTGGTAGATAGCACGCATCTGTCAATCAAGGGTTAGTTTGAGCAAAGTGCTATTAAGCCTCAAGAACTGCAATGATCACATCATATTTCAGAACTTCATGCTTCTCCATTGCTCTCCGATGCCGCAGATCTCTCTCCCTCTTGAAACCTGGCCTTGATGATGAAGGCTAGTTATGGGAAGTTTAGTTCTGAGACTGAGAGAAGCAGAGACAAACTGCACCCTGGCCTTACCCAAGCTCTTTTGGCCGTCTCAGTTTCCTTTTAACTGGGTGCTGCTCTGTCAAAGGTTTCACTATTTCATAAAACGTGTAAAAAGCAATTTTCAGCACCTTCAGCTCCTCCCTCCACCCATTTATTCCTATTTAGATTCTGAAGGGTGAAGGTAGAGAGTTTTGAGCAGCCAACCCCTCCAGAAAGACCTCACTATGGCTGCTTTAACAAGTTTTCATAGTGTTGGCCAGAGCACTGGAAGCGGTGGTTCTCGTTCTCCTCTGTAGTTCTTACACTCTGTGGTCGCTAGCACCAATCATCCTCATCTGTCTCACTGTAAGGTTCATGAAGGCCCTTGCGGGGCCCTCTGGCATGGGGAGGCCGGTGGTGTGGGTGGGGTGCCCCTGGTGGACCCCGTCTATGTGGGGAAGGTGAGGATGAGCGGTAGCCATTAGGTACCCTACGTGGATGTGGATGTGGGGGTGGAGGGGGCCCGTGGCGGGCAGTCCTAGGTGAGCGTGGGTGTGGGTGAGGATTTCCCCCGTGTGGATGAGGGTTGCCATGGGAGAGGCTCTGCTCGTAGGCAGGTGGCTCGTGGTGCCGCTCGTATTTGTAGTCTCTCTCGTAGAACGGCCCATCACCCTCTAGGCTGTCGCCAGGTGGAGGCCCACTCCAGCGGTTTCGGTGAGGGGACCTGGGCGAACCGTGGAGAGGCGAGTGCGGGGACTGGTGGCGGGGTGAGCGCGGCGAGCCGTGCCTGGACGAGGAGCCGCCGTGGTGCGGAGAGGTGTGTCGCGATGGCGGTCGGTGGTAGCCTCTGTCGTGGTCGGGCGGGGAGAAGTGTCTAGGGGAGGGCGAGCGCAATCGGCCTGGGCCGGGGGAGCCGTAGAGGGGCTTGCGGACAGCGGGGGAGTAGGTGACGTGTGGACGTGGAACAGCAGGGGTCTGTGGCAGCTGGCGACGGCCTCTACGAGGAGTGCTGGTTCCCGAGGTGGACGGGACCGGACTGCCGCTTACCGAACTACTGCCCTACAGCAAAATGTAAACAAGGAAAATCAAAATGCACCACAATAACAACATATAGCAGAATAAACAAAGTGATGGTGAGATAGATGGGTAGACAGATAGAGGGGTGGGTGGGTG